AGATATCCGCTCGGAGCTCGGAAAGTTTATGGTTGTGCCCTTTGTTTCTTCTTCTGTCCATGACCTCCTTCCTCCTGCTGGGCGCGAAGAGGGAGCCCCTGGCGGACGTCGCCGACATCCTCGACATCCTCCCGCTGAAGGTGCGCCTGGGCGACGACGGCGGCCGCCTCGCCGGCGCCGCGGGCAGCGACTCGGACAACGACCGCTCCAGCACAGACGGGGACCCCGCCTGGGAGCCCCGCTTCGCGGGGCCCATAAGCTCGGCGTCTCAAAGGTGGGGCCCTGAGACTCTCCAACGTATCTCGAAGAGCAAAGACAGCATACACATGATCTCTTGGAGGTCAGCGCGGATTTCTTGGGTCGGTGCTCCCCCCCCCCCCCCTGGCGGCGCCTCTGGCGCCGCCCCTGGCGCGTTTCGCGCGCCAGGGAGGGGCGTGCAGCGCCGATCCAAGAAATCCGCGCGGACCTCCGAGAAATAGTGCTTTCGCTGTTTTCTCTTCCTGGAGTATTGAAGAGATTGCGGCGGCGTGCTGATCTTACAGTGCCGTTTTGAGACATGCTCCGCGTGCGGACCATGTATTAAAAGTGAAGGATTGATTAATACATATAAGGATGAGTTTATGCATGAATGTATTCATACATTAATCATGTAGCAAAAATCCAATATTTTGAATCATCCAATGTATTAAGAACTGCCCTGTACCTCTCTGGCGACGCGGGGCCCGCGCCGCGCGCCGAGGCCCCGCCCGAGCACGACGCGGGATGCACGGCGCGCCGAAAAACAGCAGGGCGTCGGATCGCTGGGGATGGACGGTCGGTGCGATTAAGTCGGGCGTGTCCCCCTACAGGGGGATTTCCGACGAAAGACACAACATACTCCAAACATTCCCCAACAGGGTCAACAAAGTACTCAAAACATAGTCCCCAGACTATTTTTGGAATAGTTTTTGACTATTTTTGGGTATTCTTTATTTCTCGTCGAAAATCCCCCTGTAGGGAGACAGGCCCGACTGAACGGTACGATCGAAATGGCCACGGTCGGTACGGTCGGGACGAAGAGCGACAGCAGTTTCTGTCCGTTTTGAGCCGGGCTCGGTGCTGGTGTCGCCGAGGACGCTGCCCGCTCGAGGTGAACGTCGCCTGCCCCACAGCGGCTGCCGTCGGTGCTGAACAGCGTTTTACTGCTGGGCATCGTGCCCATGGCTTTCGTACCCGTTCTGGGCGTGCCAAGTCAGGGCCTGAGATCTCGCCGAGCGCGTTCCCCTACTCGCAAAGTGCCTACTCGCAACGACAAACATAGGTCTGCTTCGACGTATTTTATCGTAGATCCCCCGCGGGGGATCCAGGCCATTTGCGAGTAGCTACTCTGTGAGTGGTGGAACGCGCTCGTCGAGAATCGAATAAGAACAGAAGCGGCAAAGACAGAAGCTTTCGGCGCTCCGCCGCGCGGATCTCTGGGATCTGCGCTGGGCCCCCCTGGCGGCGCCTACGGCGCCCTCAGGCCCAGCGCAGTCCCAAGAAGTCCGCCACAAGCGCCGAACGTTTGTGATTGTGCAGTTTTTCTGTCCCTCGATTTTTGAGGACACGAGAGGCCTCGGACCAGTGAAGGCTCAGCCTGTAGGAGGCCACATGCGAACCCTGCCCCACCACCCCACTATCTCTAAGCGGGGAGCAGGGGCTCACGGAGGTCCCGAATGAAATGAACCCCGCCGCCCCGCTGAGAAATCGTGGGGAGGTGGAGGCTTCGTATGTAACCTCGGACCCGTGAAGGCTCAGTCTTGAGAGCTCCCTCTCCCGTTGTGGAGGACGATCCATGGAGAGGAAGCATGCTGCCCAAGAGTTCCCAGACGTCTAGAACATGTGGTTTAAGACTGTTCTAAACCTGTAAAGAGCATGCATTAACCATTATCAGGACATGTGTCCGACACTCTACATACATATGCTTAACTCGATGACAGGACTGTTAGGGTTACGTCGGGCCTGTCCCCGTACAGGGGGATTGTCGACGAAAAATAAAACATACCCCAGAATGCTCAAAACGTAGTCCAAAAATCGTCTGGGGACTATGTTTTGAGTACTTTTTGACCTTCTTGGGGTCTTTTGGGGGTATTTTTTTTATTCTTCGTCGTCAATCCCCCTGTAGGGGGGACACGCCCGACATAATGTTAGGGTGTCCACTGTCGTGGCATCCACGACTCACCACCCACCAAACCACCCCAACCCAACCCGAAGGCCCAAATTCATCCTCGATTTCCAGTGGGTGGGGGGGGGGGGGTCGGGGAACATTTTGAAAAAACACGTGGAGCCCGTACCCCCCCCCAACCCGAAATTCGAGTCAAATTCGGGTCTTCGGGTTGGGTTGGGGTGGTCTGGTAGGTCAGGGCTCGTTTCGATTCCTCCGATTCGATTCGATTCGACTTCGATGGATTCTTATTCCGATTGGATTCGACTTGGGCTTCCGATTTGGATTCCGATTTCTTATTGGAGGTATACTAGCCTGCCGATTTCCGCCGATTCGACTTTTCCCGATTCGGCTGCCGATTTTTCGCCGATCCGATTCATGTCGATTGCCGATCCGATTCATCGATTCGATCCTGGGCTCTCCTGTTGGGCAGTCAACGACCCTCCCCGGTCCCTCGCGGAGCCCGTCGCCTCGGGGCCTCTCGGCGCCCCTCGGCGCCCCTCCCTGCCCACCCCCCGGGGGCGCCCCCCCCCCCTGCGCCCCGGGGCCCCGAGCCTCGCCCGCCCCCGGAGGAGGGCCCGCCCGGCGGGGCCCCGAGCCTCGCCTCCTCCGCTCCGCTCCGCTTCGACTCCGAGGGCCTCCGCTTCCGGTGCGATTCGGCTTCGGATTCTCACCAGCCTCGAGCTTGTCCCTATTGCGGGCGAGATTCATGTCGATATCCAGTGCCTCTTGGACTTTTTTGGAAGCGGCGCCACAAGGCCGAGGCGCACTGGATATGGATAAAAATCGAGCCTCTAGGGGGCAAATTTATCCATATCCAGTGCGCCTCGGGTTTCTTGGGAAGGGAGCCCGAAACTCCATACTGCAGTGGATATGGACAGAAGTACTGCCCGCACCTATCCCTGAGATTGGCACGCCGAAGGGCGATGACAATCTCGGGGATGCGCCCTCAGAAACTGAGGGCATCCCCAAGGTTGGCCTCGTGAGGGGGCGATGCCGAACAGAGGGATAGGGAGATGTTCCAGGCTGGCAAGATGCGATTCGGCTTCGGATTCCGATCTGGACTCCGAGTTCTCACCGAGTCGTTGCTGCCCTGCCGATTTCCGCCGACTCGGCTCCCTCCGACGTGGCCGCCGACCTCCGCCGATCCGATGCATTTTGATCGCCGATCCCACTCATCGATTCGATTCTGGGCCCTCCCTGGTCTGGGATCCCTCCCTGGAGATTCGACGTCGCGACCACGAGGCAACACCGTGTTCAGTCACGACACGAGCCCTTGGCCCAATCTCTCCGAGGCACGCTTCGAGCCGGCTTGGTCTGCGAGGGTCCCGGGGGCCGGAGACCTGGCGAAGGCGCCCGCCGTGAGAAATTGCAGTGCCCGGATCTCAGGGGATCCCAGAGGAGCATGAAATATTGATATTGATAGATTTCAGAAGTTCCAGGTTTTCCCGTCCTTCCGCGCGGGCTCCAGGGACGAATGGTCGAGGGCATTCCGTCGCATAGGTTCTTTGCGTGATGTGCGCGGTGCAAATTTCGCGCATCGGAGCGCCCTCGGAGATTCCAAGCTGCATTCATTCTGTTTTGCTCTTGGGGTCCCAAACCTCGGGCGGCCCTGCCGTTGGAGGCCCCGGAAGGCCAGGAGGCGACCGAGTCCCCCAGAGGCCCCCGAGAGAGGCCCCCAAGAGGCCCCCAGGAGCCCAGGAGGCTCAGGGCCGTTGCCAATCAGGGGCAGCACCGTGCAAAGGTACTCGTGTGCGTCTGCCTCTCAAGTTCGTCTCCACTCCCGTAGCTTAAGCTACGGGAGCGGAGACGAACCAATTGTTTTCGGGTCCGGGTCCAAAACGCAGCAGCAATCCATGCAGTCTTCACATATACAGCACATCAGAGAAAAACACGCACAAACGGAGCCCAACAAGGGAGCCTGGGAGGCCCAGAGGTCCCTTTCCCGAGCCCTCGGGGCCCTCCTCCCCTCGGGGCCCCACCGTTGGAGCCGCCGCGGAGCCCCCCCCCGGGCCTCGCCCCGCCCGGACTCGGCCTCGAGGTGGCCGCCGGCCTCGCGCGCCTCGGCGGCGCGGCCGCACCGGCCGGGCGCACAGCGCTGCGCGGCGGGGCCGCGGCGTTCTCGCCGCTGAGCCGGAAGAAGAAGCAGCGGCGCAGCACACAAACGTTCGGGGATTTGGCGGATCCTTTTCTCTAGCCTACCCCAGTCGCTACCCTAGGATGAGGAGAGAGGCAGGAGAGGAAGAGGTAGAGGAGGAGGAGGATGAGGTAGGATGAGAGTAGGGAGATGATGAGGAGGAGGAGAGTGTCCTCCCTCCTCCTCCTCCTCCTCCTCCTCCTCCTATCCTTCCTCCTCCTCCTCTCTTCTCCCCCGTCCTACACGTGGTAGCGTTGGTGGAAAGCCTGCCCACCAGAACACGTGCACGTACAGGAGTCCACGTAGCTGACCGCGTAGGCTCTCGCGTAAGCACCCTCGTCTCCAATCAAGCGTGCCGCGCTGGCGGCCCGCGTAAGCCACCGCGTAAGGTCCCTATGCCATCTCGCGCAGGACCCCCCTTTTGATCGGCGCTCACGTGGGTTTCGAGAGTACGCGTTGCGCGCACGTTCGTGTCACGCGGCGGATCTCGCGGATGGGGGGGGCCGTGTTCGTGTACGTGGTTGGGTGCGTGCGTTTTTTTGTGAGCTCCCCAGTATCTACGACCAAGTGCGAGCCATACCCCTGCGGGTCCAATCGACGATGGGGCATCGGACACCCCCGCTGGGAGTCCGCTTAGGCTGCAGGCATCGTTCAAACAGTCTAAATCCCCTAGCCGGTCAGAACACTGGCGTGCAGGGTTAGGGTTCACATGTGGTTGCCTATCGGGGCTCCGCGCGGATTTCTCGGATCGGCGCTGGGCCCTCCTGGTGGCGCCTCCAGCGCCGCCCCCTGGGCGCGCTCCGCGCGCGTCCAGCGCTGATCCAATAAATCCGCGCGGAGCTCCGAAGATTCATCGACCAAAATGCCAACGCCGCCACCCCACCTACGGCCCTCCGTGTTGCGCTACGGTCCGTCGGGCGCCGCAGCGCAGGCCACGCGGAAACCAGCGCCAGACTTCTTTGGCACACGCTGAGCCCCCTGGGGCCGTAGGCGGGGTGGTGTCGTCTGTTTTCTGGTCGAGGTTTATGTCTGTGCCTTTTCTTCTTTCTTCTCCGAGCAGCCGCGCGGAGGCGTTCGTGCCCAGGGGCCTCGCGCTGGCGGGAGGCCCGCGCCCGCGGCGGGGCGGCGAGGGTCCGAAGGCGCCCGCTTGGACCACGGTGATGATGCGCAACATCCGGAGGCCTGGAGGTCGGCACCCGCACCACCACCAGTCACCACCCACCACACCACCCCAACCCAACCCGAAGGCTCAGATTTACCCTCGATTTCCAGTGGGGGGGGGGGGGTCGGGAAACATCGAACAAACACCAGTGGAACCCTTACCCCCCCAATCCGAAACTCGGGTCTTCGGGTTGGGTTGGGGTGGTCTGTAGGTAGTCAACCAGCGGAGTACCTCCTTCGAGGGGAGATGATTCTTAGGCTTCCCAGATGTGGTCGGATCAGATGGGGTCGGAGGATCGCTCCGCACCGCCGACGCATCGGCGATGCGGCTCGATGCGGAGCCCGATTTTCTCCACGCCGACGACGTCGGCGCATCGTCGAGGTCGTACGATGCATCGTCGATTCATCGTCGATGCGTCGTCGATGTATTGGTGATGCATCGGCGATGCGGCGCGATCCTCCAACCCCATCTACTCAGACCTCATCTGGTAGGTCTCAAATAATCCCGATCTGGATGATGGTGGTCATGTTTGGGCTTCCTGGGCTCCCAGCATCAGCATCTAGGATCATCTTCCCCAGGCGGAGACAATCCCCCAAATTGGTGTTGGTGCCAGTTTCCAAGCCTCCAGAACATCCCCTTCTCCTACACGTGCGACTCGCTGATCGCCCTGCTGGAATCCAGGGGGTACTCGACATGGTTCGACTTCGTCTACGTCCCCATCAAGCGCACCGAGGTGTCAGGCGTCGGGTACGGGTTCGTGAACCTTACATCCCCTGAGCGGGCGGAGGAGTTCATGATTGCCTTCGAGGGCTTTGACGATTGGGCGTCGCCGGGCTCTGACGCGGTGTGCAACACGCGCTGGAGCGTATGCCAGGGCCTCAGCGAGAACATCAGCCGCTACCGGAACAGTCCGTTCATGAGAGACAGCGTCCCGGCGATCTACAAGCCGGTCCTATTTGAAGACGGCGTGCGGATCCCGTTCCCAAGGCCCACGAAGCCGCTGCAGCAGGACCGCTCCCAGAGGTACCGCAGCGCCCAGTGAGAAGGGAGCATCGGTTCCACGGCTCCGTGTCTCGCCTCCCGCCGACCCCTCCGCCGCCTTTGGCTCCTCTTGATTCAGGAGGGAAGAACACACACAGACACAATTAATCGTCGATCCCCCAGAAAATATGGGAAAATATGGGAAGTGGGGGGAAGACAGAAACCCAGAAAATATGGGAAAATATGGGGAATCTTTTTATTTGTGTGTATTTATTTGTGTGTCCCAGGGCCCCTTCATTGATGTCATATTGCGGCTCCTGGGAGGTTAGAGGAGTCATCGGCCCTGGTGCGTCCTCGGTGCCAGTCTGGGCCCGCCTGTCCCAATCTAGCTGAATCTGGCTTCATCCGGTTTTGGCCAGAAGTGTTGAGTGTGTCTCAAGTCTGGCTTGCGTAACTCGTCTTGCTGTGGCTTCTCGTGGCACTCACAGCGGCGTACCAGCCCCCCAGGAGCTGCAATCAACTTCTTGTCGCCATGAAGGAAATGCGTCCTGAGGGAAACGGCTCCTGAGTTGTTTCATCATCGTCCTTTTCGGGCCCTTCCTGGACCCACAGGACTGTCAAACCTCGACTCAGGATGTAAAGTCTGTTCTGGAGGGAGCCTCCCAGGGTATCCAGGATCCGTTTTCCTCAGCACCTTCCTCTCAAACGGCAGTCTCCCCCTTCCTGCCTGTCTCTGGAGCTCGCAAGAGCTCCACTGGATGCACCCGGAAGTCTCAGGAGGCCTGCGGACTTGCGGCCCAGAACGGGCCGAAAGCGTCCGACCACCTCGATCCTCGAACCTGGATTCACGTCCTGGTGCCTCGATCCTCGATCCTCGAATATCGATCCTACACCCTCGATCCTCGAACCTCGATCCTCGAAGCACGAACCTCGAGCCTCGAACCTCCTTCCTCGAAGCTCGATCCTCGAACCTTGACCCTCGAAGCCCGACCTTCGAAGCTCTATCCCCGAAACTCGAACCTCGATCCTCGATTCTGGAACCTCGGCCCTCGATCCTCTGTCCTCGATTCTCTACCCCCGAAGCTCGATCCTCGATCCTCGATTCTCGCACCTCGATCCTCGGAGCTCGACCCTTGACCCTCCAGAGCTTCCCCCAGACGCCCCACGATGTGAGCCTTCGAGGCGCGGCCCGGAAATCCAGGCCTGCATGGCACCCGGGGCCCGAACTCGAGGAGCACCGCCACGGGATCGAAAAACGCCCACCTCGGGTCGGAGGCCCCGGGCCCTCCTCGAACCTGAAAAGTACCGTCGGGCCCAGGCAGCAGACCGAGGCCAGCTCGGGGAGAAGGCCCTCGTGCTCGTCGTGCCTCCCGGACGTCCTCGTGCATCCCGGGGGGGGGGGCACCCTCGGACGTTCTCTTCTCGGGGGTGGACAGACCTCCTGCCCTGACACGTCGATCAAGGAATTGGCCGTTCTCGGTTCGCGGGAGGGGTCGCGGCCGTCATTTTTGCGGGTCCAGGTCCGTCGGTTTCGGTCCCAGGCCGTTTTCGCTGAGGGGAGGTCTACTAAAGGGAGGTTTGTCCACCGCCGATATTCGTTTTGGCCAGCGCAGGGCCTCCTGCTCTCGAAGGATGCTCCTCTGGCCTGGGTCCGACTGCAGAGCCTCCGTCCAGCTCCACCCTGCCGAGTATCTCGGGCCCGGCCTCCGCTTCGGGGCCGACGGGCCTCCCGGGCGCCGTCCTTGCGCGCAGGGCGGTCCGCCACCGGCTCGCTCCTCGGAGCCCCCTCCCTCCTCCTCCTCCTCCTCCTCCTCCTCCTCCTCCTCCTCCTCCTCCACCTCCTCCTCCTCCTCCTCCTCCTCCTCCTCCCCCTCCTCCTCCTCCTCCTCCTGTTCTCCTCCTCCTCCTCCTCCTCCTCACCTCCTCCTCCTCCCTCCTCCTCCTCCTCCCTCCTTCTCTCCTCCTCCTCCTCCTCCTCCTCCCTCCTCCTCCTCCACCTCCTCCTCCCCCTCCTCCTCCATCCTCCTCCTCCTCCTCCTCCTCCTCCTCCTCCTCCTCCTCCACTCCTCCTCCTCCTCCCCCCCCCACCTCCTCCTCCTTCCTCCTCTCCTCCTCCTCCTCCTCCTCATCCTCCTCTCCTCCTCCTCCCTCCTCCTCCCCCTCCTCCTCCTCCTCCTCCTCCTCCTCCTCCTCCTCCTGCCTCCTCCTCCTCCTCCTCCTCCTCCTCCTCCTCTCCGTCTCCTCCTTCTCCCCCTTCTCCACCGCCTCCTCCTCCTCCTCCCTCCTCCTCCCTTCCTCGTCCTCCTCGTACCTTCTCGTCCTCCCTCACTCCTCCTCCTCCTCCTCCTCCTCCTCCTCCTCCTCCTCCTCCCCCTCCTCCCCCTCCTCCTCGGGGGCAACAACGATATGGGGGGGATAGGTATGTAGGTCGATGCGTCGACCCCCGATTGTCCATTGATCGCCGTTGGGGGCCCGATAGCCCCAACCTGCGCAGGAACGTGCGCATTCACTCTCGGGGGCCGATCGCCGATCTATCGGCGATGTATCGCCGATTCCAGGTCGATGTTCCCCCCCTTTGCCAGTTCCTCCCCTATCGTTGCCCCTCACTCCTCCTCCTCACTGGCACGAGCGAAACGGGTCGGCCACGCGCAGAGGGGGGTATGGGGGAGGGGGACGGCTTCTTAGAAGCGGGCCCTTGTCTGTAGCAGGGGTGGACCCAAGCGGTGTTTCGGCGATTTCGTGGGCCGTTTTCGTTTCGATTTCGTTTTGCGTTCAAGGCGGATGGAAGACGAAACGAAGAAACACTAAAACGAAACGAAAACGGAGAACACCGTTTGGGTCCAGCCCTGGTCTCTAGTAGAGATGTGGGGCCGGCGCCTTCTGAGAAGCAGCCTGGATCCAAGGAGCCTCCTTTCCTCCCCTGCCCCCCTCGGCGTGCCGCCAATGCTGCGCACTCTGAGCGGGGCTCGCTGTTGGTGCCGCTGCGGGCGCTGTCCGTGCGAGAGAGGAGGCCGCCTGCGCCTGCCCGGGGCGGGCCCCAGACGGTGCTTTGGCGACCTCGTGGGCCGTCCTCGCTTCGACCTCGTTCTGCGGCAGAGGCGGACCGAGAAGACAAACATCGAGGCACAACGAAGACCCAGCGAACGCGAGAAACACCGTTTGGGTTCAGCCCTGCGCCCACCCAAGAGCGGCCGCTGTCGTCTTTGGCCAACTGGCCTGGCATCGCTCGGACGCGTGCATTTTTTTCCCTCGGCGAGGGCCATCGAGGAGCATCCTCGATCATTCGACGACAAAGCCACGCACGAAACCGAACAACAACACAGGGAATGGGCGTCCGAGCGATGGCCAACATGGACGCCGTGCCCGCTCTCTCTCTGTGCCCACGCCCCGCGCGCTCGAACGTCACACACGAGCGGCGAGCGCCTCGCCGTCCGTCTCCGCGCCCTCGCGGGTCTGGCTCCCCGGGTGCGCTCCCGCGGATCGGGGGCCGCCTGCGAACCTTGGGAACCCCCAGACCGGGTGGTGAGATACCAGGTGG